GTTAAATTTGCATTGTTTTTTGAAAAAGTAAATTATAAATAGTTTATTATAAGTTGACTTTTAATAAAAATGTTTATAGGGTGTCTAATGGGATATCAATTTAGCAACACCCTTATTTATTTATTTATTTTGAAACGGTTAATAAATTATGAGAAAATTCATGAAATAATCAAAATCGAGGGAGTGTGTTAAGTATTTAACCAATAAAATTTGAGTTTTGAAAAATAACAACGAGATCCGTGGAGGAGGCTTTGCGGATCGTTTTAAACCTCTGAGGAACGATGATAGTACCGAGGAATTGACGTGACATCACTAAAAGATAAAAAAAAAAATATGGTGGGATCTGTAGAAATATCAACAATTCGATAGAGGTGTTATAGGGATCAAGAGAGACAACTCTGCAGATCTATCGGAGAGGGGCAACTATCATTTCCTCAGAGAATTTAAATTCCCGCAGAGGGTTAAATGGATCCGCAGAGCCACCTCTGCGGAACCATGATAACCACCATATTTTTTGTCTTTTAGTGATGACACGTCAATTCTCCAGTACTATTCATCGTTCCTCAGAGGTTTAAAGACATCCGCAAAGCCTTCTCTACAGATTTCGTGATCATGTTTCAAAACTCAAATTTTCTTGGTTAAATGCTTAAAACACCCTCTCAATTTTGGTTATTTCATGAATTTTCTCATAAATTATATATAAAGAAACCTCAAACAATTAGCAAGTAGCTAAGTGTGAGGGAATAGGAACATCATTACAAGATTTAAAATTACAAGATAAAATGATCAAAAGAAGAACAACTTCATTCTGCCCAATTACCACACCCATTCCATCTATGTTTATACCATTCAAACGTTTGAAAAATATAAGGTATGTACCTTTTGTTGCAGAAGGTTTCACCTTTTTAAATATATGTCATCCAAAGAGTGTGTAGTATTGAATCATGTTTAGTATCTCTCTTTTCTGAGGATAGTTACCCCCAAGAAGTTGTGAAGTCTGGACAATATTTTACATTTGTATAAACCCTGTTTTGAATTCCACACCATCTTGATATCCAATATCCAACTGTTCTTGTGAACTCACACTCAACAAGAAGATGGTTTACAATTTCATTCGATTTCTCACATAAAGAACAAACCATAATTTAGACTATTATCCCTATGAGAGTATTTGGAATTCTACTTAGAACCGCCCTCCAAGCAAAATACCTAAGTTTAATAGGGATGGTTTTTGACCAACAGCTTGAGGGGTCGGTATATTGGGTGATCGTTGAGTCAATCAATTTTCTCATGATTTTTACTAAATACTTTCCATCAGAGTTTAGATTAAACTGGAACCTATATTTTGAGGTGGAGTTGAAGTTTTGTTGACTAAAGAGAATGTAGAACTTATGTAATTCCAATTAAGGGATTGCTTCCAATGTACCTGATTTCCATTGCCACATGAAACCACTATTGCATAATCGATCCATGAAGGAGCATCTTTTGATTGATTCCTGTTGGTATAGATTGGGGAAACGATTTGTAAAGTTTCATCACCACACTAGTTGACTTTCTAGAATAAAGTGTGAACTTTTGAGTCTGGATTGAGTGAAAACAGTTCTGATGGCTTCAAATTGAATTAGTCCAAGAATTTGACAACTTTTGATATATTCCCCATACCCGTGTTATGTTTTTCCTTGCTAAATATATGGATAGATGACATCTCATATTATGTAACCTGACAATGACATCAACCCACAAACTATCCTGCTCATTTTTCAATCTCCACCACCATTTTGCTAAAAGAAAGACATTTTGTGCTTTTAAAGAACCAATTCCAAGCCATCCATTTTTCTTCAATCACCACTTTTGACCAATCCACCCAATGTATTTTCCTTTTCTCATCACAACCTCCCCCTAGAAACCTACGTTCGAGTTTTTCAAGAGTATCCACAATGCTTTGAGGGCCCTTGAAGAGTGATAGGTAGTATGTAAGTAGGCTTCCCAAGACAAATTTGATTATGGTTAACCTACCTCTGAATGATAAAGTCTTCGCCTTCCATGCGGATAATTTGGTTTGGAATTTGTCCGCTGAAGGCTTCCAGTTACATTTTTGTAGCATGTTTGCTCCAACTGGAACCCCTACATAGGTGAATGCGAATGAACCGTTTAAATAGTCAAGTACTTTTTCCATTCTGATGAGTTCCAAATTAGTGTTGCCAACACCAAACAAGCGAGATTTATGAAAGTTAATTTTCAAGCTCGAGGATATTTGAAAGCACTTGAGTATGCAAGATAGATTTTTTATGCTATGTCTATTCCAGTCACCTACAAATATTGCATCATCGACGTAGAAGATGTGGGAAATTATAGGTCCATTGTGTGGTAACTTTATTCCATGAATTAGATCCTTTTCACAAGCTCCTTTCATGGCGATGTGCAAGCCCTCCATAGCCAAGATGAAGAGAAAAGGCGAGAGAGCGTATCCCTGTCTAACCTCTCTCGAAATGGGGAACTCCTCTATAGGTGTCCCATTTACTAGTATTGACGGCCTTGAGGTAGATAGACATCCAGAAATCCATTTTCTCCATTTGCTTCCAAAAATCTATCTGTTCCATCACCGAGTCTAGGTAACTCTAATTAATCGAGTCAAATGCTTTTTCAAAATCTACTTTGAAATGAACATTTGCTTTTTTGCTTGTTTGACCCATGATAAAATATCATCATAACGAGTGGTCCGTCTAGGATATTCCTTCATTCTATGTACACAGATTGAACTTCATCAACAATTGATCCAACGACTCATTTCAATCTATATGTAAATATTTTGGCGACGATCTTGTAAAGACATCCAATTAGACTAATTGGTCAATAATTAACAAGTGAAGTCGGATTAACGACTTTTGCCCTCATTAAATGTGTAAGGCTTGTTTCTAAATTTTATCTGTGTGTTTTTGTGAGGTACCTAGGTAAGAAAAGTTAGCTGTGTTTTAGATATTAGTTTTTTTTTTATTTTTTATGATGTATTAATAAATATAAAATAATTCAAAAAGTAAAACATATTATTCTAAATTCAACTTAGAATTCAATAATATATTAACTCTGAAAAAATACAATAGATAGTGACATCAATGTTTTGTTTTTTTATAAACATTGAACTTTACAACTTAAGAATATAAACCTTTTTTTTTTGTCTATTCTAGCTTAACTTCTTAAACAAAGTTGGCTCCGGTTCTATTGAATAGGGCAAGAAAGCGATTGTCGGCTCAGTCACGAAGGAATACCAAAGAGCCTAAAGAGGGTGTTTAAAACTTAAAATGCAGTTAGATAGAGAACTATAAGATAATAGGGATTCTATGTGTGAGAAGGCATATATGAAGACTCTCGTTCCAAGCCGGTAAAGAGTAAGGGAAACATAGTTGACTCTTTCACTCAAACTCACTAGCAACTCCATGAGTGGACCTCGGCCTACCCATATAAATTTAAGGTTATATATATATATATATATATATATATATATATATATATATATATATATATATATATATATATATATATATATATATATATATATATATATATAAGACTTGGGCATGAATTGCTATATGACCCGCCCATTAAAAATTTCAAATTCTATACGAAGAGAATACATTTTGCTGTATAATTGTTACATTTTATTATCATTTGAAGTATTTTGCTACCGTTCATTTTGTAAGTTATTTAGCATACCATAAAACAAAATCCTGACTACACCATTGTCCATAATCAACCCCTCATCATCTTACGATGAGAAGCAGATTTATATTGTGGTAAACCACAACGAGTAAGCGAGATAGGGTGACGTAAGCCTCGGTCAAAGAAGTCTCTGTAAAACCTCATCAGACATGTAGCGGAAGTTGATAGAAAGGAACGATATCACTTTAATGACATTGAGCTCCAAATCTATTGAACCCTCGATTTAGTTTAAACCATTATATATAAACTACAAAAAAATGTAATAAATAATAATAAAAAAAACAAAGAAAAAACAAGAAGAATCTCATTTCTATCATTAATTCACAAATCGTCTGAATGGAATAATTCGTTTTTGGTCGGTTTCATCCTCATGCTATATGAATCACTCGGATTCATTAACCAATATAATAATAATAAAATATAAGATAAAAGTATTTTCATTTAAATAAATGGCCAATGTTATAATGTTACAACCAATCAGTTTCAAAGTATAGTTTCAAGAATTCTACATTAGTCAAGACTTATATGGTATATTCTAAATTTTTTCATAAAAATCTAAAATTTGTCTACTCAAATATTTGGCTTTCTTATGTTACCATCACTTAAAGTAAAGATAAGTCATTCTTTTTATTATATATATATATATATATATATATATATATATATATATATATATATATATATATATATATATATATATATATATATATATATATATATATATAAGCTGTATAATCTTCTCCTTATAAACATTCTTAAACTAATACAAGCTTCTCTCCTATTTGGTTTTCCTTGTTTTGACTTGTATATGAAAAAGGTCATGCCAACTCAATTCAAAAATCAAGTATCTCACTGTTTTAGATTTATTATTTTTTTAACGGTAAATCTAAAGTTTCACATTTTTTTTATATGAAACTTAAAATCTCGACATTAATAAGAAAGGGTAACATCTAATACAACTTATTAGAAAGCCCTTTAATAAATTTATATACAAGCTTATAACATATATTTTTAAAAAAATCAAGATTTTAAATTAAAGTATGTTAAAGTCACGTTTTTATAGTTTACCCAATAAAATATCAATAAAAATAACATTTTTAATGTTACTCTAAACCACCCAACCAAAAAGACATAGACGAATTCGTTGAGAGCTTAACTCTTAACTTCAAGTCACAGGAACCTTGATCTTCTGTAGCTGACCCACATGATAGTAGTCCACGTGTCACCTTTTCGATAAATATAATCAAACCCGTGACTTTATTTGTGGTTACCTTTACCAAAATCACCGGCAGTAACTTTAATCGATTTGTACCTTGCGAAACACCTAATCATAACCCACCTTCTATACGGAGTCGCGTGTCCCGTTGTTATTAACAACTTCTGCGAAAAGGCGCCACCATAAGCCGCAGACAGAGTGATTGCAGAGAGAGGAATAACAGAAAGCTCAACTCTTTCTCTCTCTAACTATACATACACATTTTTGTGTATATATATATTTAGTTTATCTTCTCAAAGCCAACCGGAAAAAGCAGCGATCAATGTAGGTAACATTATCATATTGAAGGATGAAATTTTATTATGATCGTAATGGTTTACTGTTGCATTTTGATAAGAGTAATCGATTTTGGTTATGTAACTTTCTTATTGATTTTGATCAATTATTTTGTAATGTATGTGTACATGAGATTGAATAAAAAAGTAAACAGAAACGCACAAATAGCATGTCGTTAAGTTCGGATTTATTCAGTTACGTGTGTGTTATTGTGTCAAGCAATTGTTTTCCGTGGAGTTTCGGTAACAATGAATCTCTAAAAAGTTCCTGGAATTACGAAGCGATTGCTTTGAGTTATCAACTTTGCTTTATTTATATGGAATCAAGCTCTGTTTCAGCGATAATAAGTCATAACATGTTTTGTTACGATTATCAATTCCAGGAAAAAGTTATAGATCTTTGGCAATCAAGAAGACGGATTGTTTGAGGCGATATTCGATTCACACTGCTTGATCATCGCATTTCTGTTTCCAATCCAATGTATGTGATATCATTGACCCTGATTCGTACCTTTAGATTTTAAATCACTGTTTTGCTTGAAAATTATTGTTTTTTTTTTTTTGTAGGATCTGCTTCGAGTTTAGCTTGAATGCTTGATAAGCTAACCAGATGAAATGAATATGAGAAATTTATGCTAATGTCTTGTTATTTAAGAAGCGATTCTTTCTAATAAAGTGGAGTAAACAAATGAACTGGCTCCTACAAACTGAAGATCCACGAATAAGTACAGGAATACAGTATCAATCGAGTGAAAGCTTCATGGATTTTCTCGAAGGACTTACCTATGAGCATGTCAATTTCATATTTTCTGGTACTACATATCCTCAGGTAAATCATAAAGTCTTTATCAGTAATTAGTTCAGTGTGATTTAGAAACTTTAAGGAGCATAGATCTTACACCTTTATTTACTTGTTCATGTAGGAGATCACAAACTCTACAATCAACACCTATGCGTATAAATTTGGGTATTCAGAAGCTGGGACATTCTCATACTATGACTACTGTGATGATTATCCGATCTATAATCAAACAATGGGGAACAATGAATATACTAGACAATTGGATGTTAATCAGAGGACTACAACACAACAAGATGAACAATTAAGCTCGAGTTTTCATGCTAATCCAGCAGAGTGTGAGTAATAGTGATTCTTTTCCTTTTTTTTTGCAAAATGTTCAAAAAAAAAAGAAGTTATAAAAGTTTTGTACTTGTAATCCAGGTCTTGAGCGCAATCATAATCATGGTGTACATGTTTGGGAAGACAATGTTGATCTTGACAACATGACCTATGAGGTTTAGCTTTTAACTTGAGTTCATGTGATGGTTTTAGATGGGATTTTATAAAAGATTGATGAAAGAGATGTTATTTTAAAATTTTAATTGCAGGATTTGATAGAGTTAGGTGAGATTGTTGGAAGTCAAAGCCGAGGTCTATCTCATGAGGCTATTTCCTTACTCCCCATTTCAAAGTTCAAGTGTGGGTTCTTTTGGAGAAAGAAATCCAAAGTGGAGAAGTAAGTATTTGGTTTGTGGATTTCAGTAGAATCTGATGGAATTGGAACTCAAATTTTCAATTCATTCTCTTGTTTGTTAAAAGACCAAACTACCCTTATTATATATGCATTTCCAATTTTGATACCAAAAAGTTTTTCCATGCAATTTTGGTCCTTATCTTAGGTTTTTGTAAATTTGGTCTCTCTTGCAAATAAAATGACTGTATTTTTGGGACCAAAATTGCAAATATCAGCTTCACCAAAAGTAGTCATTTTACTTGGAACAAGGACAAAAAGGTTACAAAAACCTCAAATAAGGACCAAAATTGAAAAAAGTCAGCTATACTCAGGGACCAAAATGTAACTTACTCTTAAATAAATATCTAATTATAAAATATACTCAAATACCATTCCATTTCCCAATAACCAAACTCTGGACTAGAATTTTGCTTTACATATTAATTCATTTGATGTATTTCATTTGTTTATATTTACAGGTGTGTAATTTGTCAGATGGAATACAAACGAGGTGACAAACAAATTACTCTTCCATGTAAACATGTGTATCATGGTGCGTGTGGGAGTCGATGGCTTAGCATCAACAAGGTAAAATATGTTAATTTATTTATTTTTATTAATTATTTCATGAAAATTTATTGATCATGTCAAAGCATATTAGGCGTGCCCTGTTTGTTACAAGGATGTGAATGTGAATGTTGGTGGATCAAAAAGTGAAGAAAGATTTCATAAGTGGAGATAGAAAGGGGATTCTATTCATATCTTTGCATCCATCTCAGATCCATAAATTTAGTTGCATCTTCATTGTTCCATTTTTTTTTTTTTTTTTTTGTACTTTTATCAGTTAGATCATGTGTTTTAAATAAGTGTTGCTATAGAAGATTCATTACATTTACAGGGTTGTCTGATTGAGGTTTTTGTATTTGAACATTTGGTTTCTTGTAAAATGATATCTTTAATTGGACTAAAGAAAGTCATATTATCTCTTGGCATCTCTTTAGTCTGTAAATACATGTGGGCCATAGATTGGCACGTGATGAAAATGGTAGGTTCTGAAGCTGACAAAGCAATTAAGCATCCTATGAGCTCACCTTCTTTTATATGGTCAGGTCGACTGCTTTTACTGTTTACAATTGGTCCTGAATCACATGAACGAATGAATATCTTGGGAAATGAAAAAATTACAATTACAAAAAGTAAATACTGCATCTTTTATTTTATTTTTTGTTTTGTTCTAAATTTCAAATGTAAATGATATGTTTGTCCATTGTTTGTCGTTAAAAACATTGGTGGTAATAGGTTTAGGTGTTGTTTCTTTATTTTAGAAAAATGTCTCTATGACATGCCATGTCTACCGTGTGGGCAGACAGACATTAAAGTAAAAGATCGTTTGTTTGTTAGAAGGCTATATACATAGAAATGTATGCATGACCTTTTTCTTTTTTTTTTTTTTACATAGACTAAAAAACAGTTTTTGATTTTAGAATACAATTTCTAAGTTCTAACTCTAATATGGTGTTACTTATTTCACCATCTTTGTCACTGCGGCCATCTTTTACTATCTTCTAGAAATCATAGAAATCAATGTGATTAAGGAGTGTACGTACATCTGGTTTGTTTGTTTAGGATCATCTGTGTTCAATATGGTTTAATAAAAAAGTTTTTTTTTTTTGCTTGCAGACTACATATTTTCGATCCATATTTTCTGTATAAGTGTAAAAAAATTGCAGACATTTTACTTTTTAAGAAAACAAACAATACTTTAGATAATTTCCGGTAAATAATTCTCATTAATTGCCTATATATACAATTACAAGACAAGGTAATGGGCCAAACTAAATGGGTATTCAAAATGCAACTATTGGGTAGCTACAAATAATAGGTGAAAAACCCATCCAGTACTTTTGAAATACTTTTTACCTTACATTGATAGTAGAGAGAGTGTAGAGGAGAGACAACACTACAGGTTGAAGAACCTTCATATTGCCTTTGGAGCGGTACCATCTTCGACTTCCCCGAACGTACTTGGAATTTGCTTAATAAAATACCATTACTTTAAAATAACATTACTTTCTTGGAATTTACCTAACAAATGCCATTACTTTATTGGATTTTATATTTGTAGCAGAGCACAAAAAGAGAAGAACACAAAGAAAAACCTCAGCATCTTCCACTTCCTCGTTGACTTGCTGTTTCACTAGTCATCTTTCTCAGCTTCGTCACTGGTGGTTCATCCTCTGTCATCGCTGTGTCAGGTCTTCTTCTTGTGGTTCTCTAGACAGGTAACTATGAGGGCGCGCATTCTTACAAGTTAGTTTCACTTTCACATATTGTTAGACAATTTCATCTTACTAATCATAAATTCCACCATAATCATTTGATTATCTCGTTTACATATGATTGAATTCTGTATTTGTCAATTACTGTTGCTTAGTTACTTCCGAGGGTTTGAAAGTGAAACCCTCAGCAGTTCAAAGTTGAAAAGATTGTTCTTGATTTTGATTTTTTTTTTTTGTTTGGATATTTTAAGTGTTTGTTGATATCTAGTGCTAAGCTTGAAATTTCCTATAGGTTGCAATTTCTCTTATAAGTGGATTTTGTGGTTGTTTGTAGAATGATATTTAAGTGTTGAACTGTTGATTTTGTTTGATGATTAGTTGAGTGAACTCCAAATGGATTTTATTTAGATAGTAGTATAGTAGGGATGTTTATGTGGGTTAATCAAATAAAAAACAGAGACATTAAAAATCGAAATCAAGAATTAAAACACACATATACACATTATGCACTACGAAGTTCATATGTATCATATTATTTTAATCACTTAAAAGTTTTATTTTGAAGAATTTCAAAGTATTACAATGATTATTATTGAGGTTCAAAATGGGTGATGAGATTTAAGTTGCATATTTTAAATATTAATAATTCGAATTTTATGTAGAGGCAGCATGTATAGGATCCTGACATTGAAGCACAAGTGAGGAAGGTCTGTGAAACCAACTTTCATAACTGATAACATGAAAGGGTGAAGGGTCATCAACTCATAACTCATAATGGTTGTTCTCTCTGAACTCTCAGAAGGATCTTCATCCTCTTCATCAACACATAGTCATAGTTCACAAACTCTTGGCCATAGTTCATCAACTCATGGCCATAAATATGATGTATTTTTAAGTTTTAGAGGTCTCGACACTCGTGATAGTTTTACTAATCACCTTTATGAGGCCCTTATGCATGCCAATATCACTACATTCTTAGATAATGAAGAGATTGAAACAGGGGAAGATCTAAAACCAGAATTGGAGAATGCAATTAAGGCATCTTGGGCTTCAATTATCATTTTGTCTAAGAATTATGCTACTTCAACATGGTGCTTGGATGAATTGGTGTTGATCCTTGAGCAGCGTATGACATCCAACCATATTGTCATCCCTGTCTTTTATCATGTGGAGCCCACACATGTTAGGAAGCAACAAAGTAGCTTTGGAGATGCAATGGCTAAGCATAAACGGATGATGGAGGCAGAGACAAATGCAAGTAAAAGAAGTCAATGGGCTCAGAAGATGGATAGATGGAATAAAGCGCTTATAGAAGTTGCTAATTTAAAAGGCAAGGATGTAAATGGAAGGTAACCATCATTACTATACATCTAGTATTTTATTGAAAGTTAGTTCATTTAGATAAACAACTTGTGGATTGTGTTTTGTATTTCTTATTGAATCAAGTTTCAGGCTAGAGACAGAGTTTATTGAAGAAATTGTGAAAGATATCTACCGTAGATTACATATACCCTTAAGGAGTGTTCGGCCACAACTTATTGGGATGGAGTTTTCCATTGAGTTCATCACTTCTTGGTTGAAAGATACATCCTCACATACAGCAGACATACTCACTATTTTGGGCATGGGTGGGATCGGGAAGACATCTTTAACCAAATATGTCTATGAGTTACATTGTCGTGATTTCCACACATGTAGCTATATTGAAGATATTAGTAGGAGATGTGATGCAAAGTTTAATGGGTTGCTTGACTTACAAAAACAACTATACGATAACATTTCAAAGACAAGTTCATTTGAATTTCATGATGTTTCAATATACACCTCAAAGATAGAGAATGCATTATCCCGTAAAAAGGTGTTTCTAGTTCTTGATGATATCGATAGTCTTGATCAATTGGATGCATTACTTGGAAGCAAAGGTTTTCATCCCGGAAGCAAAATTATAGTAACCACAAAGGACTCATGGTTGACAGAGAGTTGTGCATTATTCAAATCAAATATTATTAAACCGAAACATGTAGAGCACATGCTTCGAGGCTTACATGAGACTGCATCACTACAACTTTTATGTTTTCACGCATTCATGCACAACCATCCCAAGGAAGGTTATGAAGAAGTGTTATATAAATTTGTGAAGTATTGTGAAGGGCATCCACTAGCTCTTGAAGTTTTGGGCAAGTCTCTACATAATCAAGATATAGCTTATTGGGAAGGTTGCATAGAAGGACTACAGAAAGAAAGTGGGTCCCATATAAATAATGTCTTGAAAATGAGCTTTGATTCTTTGCCATATAAAAATGATAAGGAATTGTTTAAGCATATTGCTTGTTTCTTTGTCGGAATAGATAGAGATGTTAGTGAAACAATATTAAAGGCATGTGACATAAACACAAAATCTGGAATCACAAATCTCATTGATAGATTCCTTCTTAGCATTGGAGGGTTTAACGAATTAAAAATGCATCAATTGGTTCAAGAGATGGGAAGGTTTGAAGTACGTCGAGAATCACTTGAAAAACCATGGAAGCGAAGTCGGTTATGGTGTCATAAGGAGTCATTCAATGTGTTAAAAAATAAAAAGGTAAAAGGTCATGTATGCTTTTACAGTTTTACTAATGTATATGAACATATTTTGTGTTGTCTAATTTTTTTATTTGCATTTTGTTTTTTCTTAGGGAAAAGGAAATATTCTAGGTCTTACTCTTGACATGCGCATGCTTGAGAAAGAGAAGATGGATGTATCATTTGAGCTGAAAACAAATGCATTAAGTAACATGGATAGTTTGATGCTACTACAACTCAATTTTGTCCACATGAATGGGTCTTATGATAACTTTCCGGAGGAATTAAGAGGCTTGTGTATGCATGGGTTTCCATTAAAGTCTATACCTTCAGACTTACCTATGGAGAATCTTGTTGCTCTTGACATGTCATATAGCAATATTGAAACATTTGTCATTCGTCACAGTGATCCAAAACGACTTGACAAGAGGCAAAAAGTAAGTTATCTTCATTTATTATGTTTCCATGTTGAGTTGATGAAATTCAAAGCTATTCTAACTTATTTCCCTTTCTACAGTTGGATGGAGTGTGCTTAAGAGACAAAAGGTTGCTTGGATCATTAAAGATTCTTAACTTAAGTTTTTGTAAACAACTCCATAGTCTTGGTGACTTCGATCAACTCCCAACACTTGAGAGATTAATAGTTAGAAATTGCACTGGTTTAGTTGAGGTTTGTGAATCAATTGAGCAATGTGTTGAACTTGTCTTTATCGATCTGAGCTACTGCAACACGCTTGAAAAACTTCCAAGAAACATATGCATGTTAAAGAAGATTAAAACACTCTTACTAGATGGTTGTAATCTCGGAAAATCTCAAATCAAGAATAAGGATATGAATTCATCGGAAAGGCACAAGGCTAACAACATAGTCATAAACACAAGAACCTCTTCCTCCACCTTTGTAGGTGTTATACCACGTGATTTGAAACTCTCTTTGATTTCTTCACCAAGCTCTTTAGTAAATTTGTCACTTATAAGGAATAACTTGTCCACCAAATCGTTTCCCATGGACATGAGCTCCCTATCCATGTTAAAGAAATTACATATAGATGAGAATCCTATCGATTCTTTGCCCAATTGTGTGAGAACCCTTCCTAAGCTGGAGAAGCTTAGTATGATGAATTGTACAAAATTGAAGTCAGTCGAGCATCCTCCACGTACACTAAGAGAGTTGTTTATCCATTCTCGTAAAACTTTGCTAGAAAAAGTTGTATTTGATCCAGAAATGTCCCCACTAGAGTTTATGTATAGCTTGATAGATTCCAGACCTTCTTCATATGAAATCGAAGGCATGATCAAAATCCAACCAATTGTCGATGTTGAGGAAAAAGTATTACATAGCTTGGGTTGGATTAATTTAGACTTCCTTAACGACATGCATGTGGGAACAAATTCGTGGAAATCTGAAATCCAGGTTTTTTTTTTTTGTAGTTAAACACCCGTCTTTATGTGAATATGTATAATATAATTATTATAGTGATTAATTAAGGTTGTATTTTGCAGATGATTTATGAATTTGGGATATTCAGCATAATGTATGAGCCAAAGAAGATGCCGAATTGGTTTACACATAGAAGCAAGGGGAACTCGATATCATTCACCATTCCATCATATCCAAACAAGATTACAGGACTTAACTTCTGCTCTATACACATATTGGCATCTCCTGATGAGAGGCTTCCATTTCCATGTGATCATTTCCCCCTTACCCCAATGATCACAGTTAATAATATAACAAAAGATCATATGTGGATATATGAGCGTCATAAAGACAGATTTAGTGAAGGTCGAGAGTGTTACACGTTGTTAAGTCATTGGATGTTGGGGATGAATGAGATGGAGGGTGGTGACAATGTTACTATTACTGTTACACTTCCATGTAATGAAATTGTAAAGGAGTGTGGGGTGAGGGTTGTGTATGATGATGGAAACATGGATGAGGAAGAAGATGCATTGGGTTATTACAAGTCATGGAATCATATTATTGGTGGTTTTCTCTCTCCTTTTCAGTTAACAACAGGAGAATACATCCTCCATAATTGGCAATTTTTTTGGCCTGATGTTAAAATGTATCCATATTATCGTAAGTTTGTTGCAGAGGGTGCCAACTATCAAGCTAGATATCAAGGTAGATATCATTTTTATTAAGTATTTTATTGTCATGTCTTTTCTATAATGACGTGACTTTTGACTCAAACTTCATTTAATAGATGAATAATAATTAACATATTACTTTTTTTTTATCTGTTTTCAGTACAAGATAATGGGTGGTTTAGAGCTTTATCGAAAAGAAAGCCCCACATAATTGGTGACACACATGAGGTATATTTTTTCTCGCTTTTTCAGGTTTTGTTTTCTTTATAACGTGTTTATGTGTGGTCTTTCTGATTATGTTTTTACTGCTAGTTTTTTATGGGTCTCAATTAGTTTTTTATTGTCTCAATTAGTCGATTAGTTGTTTATGGGTCTCAGTAAACAATTAATTAGTTTTTCTTGGTCTCAATTAGCTGTTTTTTTTGGTATCAATTAGTAAAATTGATTATCAATTGGTTGTTTCTTGCTCATTTATTTGTGGGTATTGATTTGTTGTTTCAGGTCTGAACTAATGATCTGGGTATCAATTGGATATTTCTGGAGCTCAATTTTCCATGTAAACTTTACATAATTTTATATTATAATGACTATAGTGCGACTTATTTTTGGAGTATAATGACTATAGTTTACTTACTTTTAGATTATAATGGCTATAGTTTACTTATTTGTAAAATATAGTGCTATAATAGTTAATTAGTTATGATAACTATATATTTAACTTATCACTAAACACGGAATATCCGAGACAATTATTATTGGTTATTTTTAGTTGCATTAAGGAATTTTATTTGATGGATGCCTTCTTAGAGAGCAACAAGCAACATGTTTAGAATGCATATATTATTAAATACTATGTTCCCTATTATCTCAAAGGTAAGGGTACAAACACAATATATACATGTTACGTGGAGGCCAAAGGGCCGACTAAGCTACTGGGCTCCAATATTTGCCACCATTAAAGTAATAATATACATACATAGTCTAACATAGTTTTATCGGAAGGAAACATACAGACGTTCAAATTGTAGTTGAATTCATTAAATAGAGTAGGTAGTACATGAACGACACATGTGGCAACCTCATCTCAAACAAACTGAATGTTTATCTCTATATGTTTCGTATGTTGGTGCTACATGGGATTTGTGGAGAGATACACGACATTGATGTTGTGACAGTAAACAATAGTCGCCTTGGTAGGTGGGCATAAAAGATATAGAAGAAGATTGCTAATCCAACAAGTCTCGGAAACAATACCGGACATATTTAGTTTTGGCATTGGAATAAGAATGACATGTTGTTCCAAGAAATATACAATATCCGAAAGTAAAATCGCCTGGTATTCCGCACAAGCGGTTGAAACATTGAAATTAGTAATAAAAAACAGAAATGAGTGTGTGCGCGAAGTTGAAAAACATGACATAGCATATCTCAATTGTATTTATTACAAGAGATAAACTTTTGGAAATAAGGGACTTCAAGGCTTGAACTTCAGGATGATTGAGCCTTTGATGCCATGAGGATGGGGTAATGGTCACAAGCACTTACAAAAAGGAAGGGAGGACATTGTTGAGAGGGCTATTGTCAGGGCTGGTCCATTGTCTTTTACTACATAGAGCGATATAAAGAATTTGTGCCCTTATATATGTATAATACAATAGAAAAAACGTATATATAAAAGAATTATTAAATAAAAAATGTTGTAAGCAAACAATAACCTACAAAAATCACATAAAACGATGTCTTCCATTTGTTCATAGAAAAACATCTCTTATTTTACAATAATCAATATTTTAATAAAAAAATCACTTTCAATACTTAAAAGTGTTAATTCATTCCATCTTTTTCTAGAGTGATGGTACCCGATCATTAGAAATGAGCTTGTGCTACCTTTAGAAGTCCATATTTGAGATATTAAAAAAGAAAATCATAAATTTGACTCCTACTTCACATCATATAAACAAGAACACAACGGTTTAGAAAGGATCTTTAGATATCAAATATTGAACACAAACATATTTTGAAATTGAACTCATCTAAATCTGATTTCTGAAACAACATATTATGAACACAAATCAGATACAAAAATCAGATACTTCGACTTTTACTCCTTTTTACTAGAAATCAAATAGAGAAGAAATCACATAGATAAGAAATAAAGCAAATTTTTAAGACAAAACTTAATGAATAGATTTTGAAATTGAACTCATCTACTCCCGATTTCTAAAACATTAGGTATCGAACAAAAATAGAGGATAAATCAAAAACAGCCAACATAAACGAACCTAAATCAGTGAATCACTAAATAAGAAAGAGAGAAAAAATCAAATTTCCAACAAACCTTAATAAACATATTTTGAAATTGAACTCATGAACCGAAATAAATCTGATTTCTGAAACAGACAACAAAAACAAATCACGGCCAAATCAGTGAATCACCAAACAAGAAATCAAATTTACAAGAAACCTTAATAAGCAAATTTCGAAATTGAACTCGTGAACTCATCCAAATGACTTATGAAACAACCAACAACAATAAATCGCACCAAAATCAATAATTTAGAAATTCAGAATCGAAATTTAGAATCGGATTTGCTTTATCAGATTAGAGAAAACTGAACCTTAAAAACGGATCAGATTAAAGAAAAGAATTAGACTTGTGAAGTGTCACTGATAAGAAATTGAGATTTGTGAGCTATGTATTATTGATTTAAATAAAGACATCATTTCTTACTTTTTATTTATCGGATATGTATTCTAGGTAGGTATTTATTTCTCCCATCGACAACAATGCCAACGAATCTCCAGGACAGCGAACGTTTGGTTTCTCTATGGCGATCGATGACTCTTTGGAACCTGCTTTCGCCATCTTTCTTTCTCACGTCCTAAACAGAACAATGACACGGGCTAAGTTTTTTGGGTCATTCTAATATATACTATAAATACAACTGGATTATTTTGATGCCCCGGAAATTTTGTTGCCCTGGGCCTAAGCCCAATTCGCCCATGTATTGGGTCGGCCCTAGCTATTGTCGTCATACGAGATTAGAGGTTATTATGTCTTGTAATCCTTGACATTAAAATCAAATTCATTAAATTCAATACTAGTTTTATTTTGATGAGCATAAATAAAGTTTCAATTGAATATTTGATGTTATGAGGAAATTGTTTAGATGAAGAGTGCAATAAGGGTTATTGTGACATCCCCATTTTCACGGCCAGAAAAGACTGATTTTGTTTATGCTTTATAAAAATCAGAGTACCTCTTTTAATAAAAATGTTGCGGAATTTATTCCCACTAAAACATGATAAATACGTTATCAAAACATTTCCGAATAAAAGTATTTTTAATTTGTTTTAAAACATTTGGGATGTCATCGTCAATATAGAAACATAAGCATAAACAGAACTTACATTTATTTACACTAGTGATCTACATCTCTTTAATCTCTCAGTGTAATGTGACTTCATCTCAACACCTGTAATATAAATAAACTGAGTGAGTCAGGCTGGGAAACGAGGTGAGTACATAGGGTTTTCAACCCATAATAATATAATTATTATGTTTAAACAATCAAACAATCGACCAAATTACCCATCCCCATTATCTTCTTTACTCTTAAGGATCTATCCTAAGAGTCATCTATCCCGCATTCGTTCATTCTGAAGTCCTTTGCTTCTAGAGTTATAGGACTGACACTAAATCCATAGCTGCCAATGCTCGTTTGTAAAGCACTAATTCCATAGCTGCTGAGTACTAAATCCATAACTACCAGTGTTTATCTAATAGGTACTAAGTCCATAGCTGCCAATTCCTAACAGATACTAAGTCCATAGCTACCAGTGTTTGTCCAATAGGCACTAAGTCGATAGCTACCGATGTTATTTGTTAGGCACTAAGTCTATAGATGCCAATGTTTACTCGCATCATCTTTTAACTCTCTTCATTCATTTACCCATCTCATACCCAACATACTTGTATTTTTAAAATACTTATATAGTTCAAATCATTTAAAACATGTATAAACAAAACGTTCATCTAGCATAGACAACAAGTATTCAGATAATATGCACACATAACACGTAGTTTATATAAAATACTTCATATCTATGTGTAAGATGAAAGTAACTATGCACTCACCTGAGAAGGTGGTGACTCGGTACTCGGACAGCGCTTCGTTTACTTTAAAATAATTTACTTCGATGAAACCTAATATTATTATCACTAGATTTTAGTCTAATATTTACCGTGACTAATTATTAGTCTTATTATTATTATTATATAAACGTTTAAACAATACTTTCCAACCACTATGTACAGACAGGGACCAGACATAAAACACCGGAGGGCAGGACCATTTTGGCATATAGCACTTCTGAAATCCAACAACCTATGCGGCCCTTTAAACCAGATTCCCCGTACCACGAGTAATTAAAAAGATATTATAACGACACTTATATAAGTCATAATAATAGCTCAAATATTTATTATAAATTTATAATAACAATAGTAATTTTAAATATAAACTATATTTAAAATAGGGTAAACATAACTTACTTACAAAAGGATTTTAGCTAGGAGTCGGACTCTGCAGGGGAAGAACTTCATCGCTGAATATTTCTAAGAAAGATTCATGCAGCGCTTCAGCGCTCATCTTACTATACTAAAACTACAGAAAGAGAAGTCGAATCACGAGGGACCGAAATGCTCGGGGGATAAGGAGAGAAAGACTCTTGAATCAAGAGAATGGTGCAAGAAATATGATAGCTCAATGCTCTTATTTATACTAATTGAATTTTCAAAAACTACCCTCCATAATTACTTAATGACATTTTAGTTATATAAACAACTAAACACCCCTCTATAATACTATTTTAAATGGATTTAATGATATTTGTACTAAACTAATATCGAAAGAACTCAACATTAGTCTTATAATGACCGCATCGTCGATACCTTCCTAATGATATATATATATATATATATATATGTGTGTGTGTGTGTGTGTGTGTGTGTGTCTGTGTGTATGTATATATGATTTATACTTTATTTTAATACGTAAATATGCTATTATAATTTGTAACTCGTTCATACGAACTCCGTTTTTGACGTTCTTTATATCCACACGTAGGTGGAGACGTACTCTACAACTTTTGTTTAGACTCCGTCGGTTAATTTTGAATTTATTTTTAAAGTTATATTTTTTAACAGGCCGGGACAGGATTGGTCCGTTAAAATTTCATAACTTCTTCATTCGATGTCCGTTTTCGTCTGTCTTTTTATCGTTAAGCTACTAATAACGAGAACTTTGATTCTCGTTTATGTTGTGTTGGCTAAAAACCGCTCGATCTAATACTCGAACTTCGGGTTGTACACCGCTAAGCCAAAACTTCGAAAAATCATAACTTCCTTATAAGAAGTCAGATTTAGGCGTTCTTTTTATGGACGCTATCAGGTTAACATATTCTACGACTTTAATTTAGATTACTAAGGCTAAAAGAACCTCTATCATAAATTCATTTTTTTACGTCTCCCGGTGCCGTGCCAGTTTTGTCGTAAAACTTCGACGAGCCATAACTTCTTCGTTATAACTCGGATTTCGGCGTTCCTTATATGTACGGAACCCTTGAGACATATTCTACAACTTGTTTAAGATTATTTACTCTAAATAATCTTTGTCAAAAAATCATTTTCGACCCCTATTATCTCTAAATTGACTAGCCCGGATCTACGGGAG